TGGGCTGGATTCAGGTGGCAGTGCCCAGACTTGGCACCCGGTGCCCGCCGGGGCTGGGGGACGACACACTGGCCTGGCTCCAGGAGGTCCCCGAGGGATTCAGCATCCCTTGTCGGTGTCACCCCCCTGCCGTCATCCCCCCAACCCCCTGCTTTCTGGCTTTTGCTCTTGGGGAGGACGGTGGCCGTAGCCACACCGGGAGATAGCCACGGCGGGGGGGGATGGGTGCCCGGGGGCTTCATGGGTCCTGGGTGCTGGCACGGGTGGGCTTGGGGAGGCGAGGAGGGTACCACGAGGGGCCAAGGATGCTTCTTGCTGTGGGACGGGGCCATGGATGTCCCGATGGCCCCCTGACGCTCTGTCCCTGGGGAGCAGGTCCCCCCCGGAGCCGCCTGGAGCCCATGGACACCATCTTTGTGAAGAACGTGCGGGAGGACGGGCCGGCACACCAGGCTGGGCTGCGCACCGGTGAGCACCGGGGACACTGCGGGTGGCCGGGCTGGCGGCGTCTCGGGGACAGAGATGGCTCCAGGCTCCTCCCGGGATGCGTGCCGTGTCCTGGCTTCTCTGCCGGGGGCTTTCTTGCTTGTTTTGCTCTTTTTCTTGCATTCCTTCTTTCCCTCCCTCCCTTCTCTCTGCTCCCTGGGGCTGTGGGGACTCTGCTCTGTTCTCCTTGGCCTGGGATGCTCAGAGCGACATCGGGGTCCCCATGGGTTGGGCTGGCTTTGGGGTCCCCACGGCTCCACTTGCCACACGGGATTGGGCTCTGCCCCTGGAAAAACTCCTGTTTGAACCCTGCTGTGGGTGACCGTGGGGACAGCCAGGTGCCACCACCTCCCCAGTGAACTTGAGGTGACACTTGTGTTCTCTGCAGGGGACCGGCTGGTCAAGGTGAACGGGGAGAGCATCATCGGGAAAACCTACTCGCAGGTCATCGCGCTGATCCAGAACAGGTCAGTCCCCCCTCCTGGGGCTGGGCAGAGCCGGGGAGGTGACATGAAGGGGACACATCTCAGCAGGCACTGTCACCCCCCCCCAGGGTGTCACTGGGGGTACCAGGAGCGGTGGTGAGTCACTTGGACACCCACAGGCAACGGGTGCCACAGGGGACCAGGGATGGGCAATGACGACATGCTGTGACCATCACATGGGGACAGGGACATTCATCCCCTCGTGGGGATGGGATTGGCCTCCCCAGGGACAGGCAGGGACCGACCCCAACCACCCTGACCCCTCTGTCCCCTCTCTCCCCGCAGTGATGATGTGCTGGAGCTCTCCATCATGCCCAAGGACGAGGACATCCTCCAGCTGGTGAGTTGGGACCAGGCTGGTGCCAGGGCTCAGGTTCCCTGGTGTGGCTTTTCCCGTGCCCCCCAAACCCGGGGGGGGGCTGGTCTCTGTGCCCACACTCCTCCCATGCCTTGGGTGGGGGGGTACCCAAGTGCCCCTACCTTGCTGGGGACACATGGGGACCACTCGGGGCCCCACCAGCACCCCTGGAGCAGCAGTGGGTGCAGAAACGGAGGTACCCAGGGATGCAGAGCAGGAGGATGGGAAATGAGACCCCTGTTTTTTTGCGGGGTGCCATCCTCGAGCATAGTTGGAGGGCAAATTACTCTGGGTCTCGGGGGTCTTGGAGCACCCCAAGTGGCTCTGCTGTCATTGAGCTGGGGTCTGGGGACAGCGGTGGCCCCGACAGGGTGGCCCAAACCGATGGGTGTGTGTGGGGCTTTGCTGGTCCTGGTTGTGCCCCCCCCCAGGCTCTCCCAGCAGTGCTGCCACCAAAGCCACCACCCCAGTGTGGCTCTTAGGTGGCACCACTGTGTGGCCCCAGCACGGGGGACCCTCTCCCATTGGGCTGGGGGGGTGTCTTACAGCCCTGGCGTGCCTGCCCCGGGCTCTGAGGATCCCCTGGATGTGGGGTCAGAGGCGTCGGTGAAAAGTGAGACGGGAGAGCGGGGCCCAGCCAGCCGTGCCGGGGTATTTTCGGAAGGCGGGGAGGGGAAGGGAGGGGGGGTGGGGGGAGAGGAGGGGCTGATGATGGTGGCAGCGTCACTCGGTGCT